TCCCCAGCAGCGTGGCCAGCAGGGCGAGGGGGGATTGTGCCCCTCTGCTGCACTCTGCTCTGGGGAGACCCCCCTGCAGTGCTGCCTCCACTTGGGGGGTCCCACCAGCAGAAGGACACGGAGCTGTTGGAGCGGGGCCAGAGGAGGCCTCAGAGATGCTGGGAGGGCTGGAGAACCTCTGCTGGGAGGACAGGCTGGGAGAGTTGGTGGGGTTCAGCCTGGAGAAGAGAAGGCTCCGGGGAGACCTGAAAGCCCCTTCCAGTGCCTAAAGGGGCTCTAGTGAGAGCTGGGGAGGGACTATGGATCAGGGAGGGGAGTGATGGGATGAGCGGTGATACTTTTAAACTGGAAGAAGGGAGGTTTAGATGAGATATCAGGAAGAAGTTCTTGACTGGCGCCTGCCAGGAGGTCGTACTTCCTTGGGACATGCTGACAGCATAAGCTGGTTTTGGGGCCTTAGTCCAGAGTTTGCACAACCCTTTGCAGTCCAGTCTGGGTAAATTAGCGCTTATATTCATTGTGATCCATATTTTTCTTCCTGCCCTTCCTGTAGCGCCTGACCAAACACACCAAGTTTGTCCGAGACATGATCAGGGAAGTCTGTGGCTTCGCACCCTACGAGAGACGTGCTATGGAATTGCTGAAAGTTTCCAAAGATAAACGTGCTCTGAAGTTCATAAAGAAACGGGTATGTCAATCCAACATCTTAGCGAGGATGGCAAAAACTCTGCTTCAGTTAACTTTCTGTTTTCTGCCCTTCCCTGGGGATATTTTGCTTTTGAATACTCTTTTTTTTTTCCAGTTGTTTGGGAAGTTACTGTTCTGATCTGAGGGAGCGGAGGGAATGCCTCTTGGGTTGGGTGGGAGAGTGGGAGATGAACATAAAGGTGCTTTGCCAAAAAAGGCCCTGAGCTACAGCAATCCAGCCTTCCCTTGCTGGTTTTGCATTATTTGCAAGTCTGGTGTGGGAAGAGGAGAGCAATACTGATGGAGGTTGGGTACGATTAACCAGGCAACTTGAAATGGGGTTCATTGAGGGCAGCCTGAGTAGAAGTACTACTGTTATGCGATGGCAAGTAGTCAGTGGTGGGCCAGTCGAGGGGTGTGGGGTTCAAGTCCACGTTTACCAGGAATTTCCCATCCTGCCTGCTTTTTGAGTCAAGCTTCTTCAGTGAATGCCTGAAGCAGCCACGCAGGTTTATCTGTTCTCTGCTGGGATGAATGCACTCCTCTCTCCCCTGCAGGTTGGCACTCACATTCGGGCCAAGAGGAAGCGGGAAGAACTCAGTAACGTCCTGGCAGCCATGAGGAAAGCTGCTGCAAAGAAGGATTGAGTTGTACAGTCTAACTCAATAAAGTCCTTTCTCACAAAAACAGTGTAATGACTGTTGATGGTACATCTGCTTCAGCCTGTAGGAACAGGGTGCTCCTGGGGGTGCTGACAAAGAACTGAACTGCAGTAATCCACAACTGGCACTGCTGTTTTATTTTTACCTGCAGATGCTGGTACTGGAGTTGCTGGTATTGGCCTGTGATATATTCTAGTGGGGGAATCACCTTTGCAGAGTTAAGTGTTTCTCAGGATGTGGAAGCCTCTGCAATAGCTAAGCCTGTGAAGGCTGCAATACCTTTCACCTCTGGGTGTGCCTCCAGACCTAGATGGCTGTAGGAGAGAAGTCAGTGGACAAAAATTGCTGTTGAAAACAGTAGTAACTTTGTACTCCTTCCCCATGGCACTTCCAACGTTGTGCAGCTTTTCTTGCTCATGCATTTCCCCTTGTACTCTCCATTCATGCCTTACTTTCTGCAGTGTGTTATCAAATCATGAGAGAGAATGAGAGCTCTGAATTTCAGTGGGCTAGTTTTTTTTTCTCCACTAAGGGCTACTGTGCTGTGAGACAGGACCAGTGCTGTTCTTCCTGCACAAAGCAATACATTTCAACTAGACTACATGTAACTTCATGCAACTTGCCCTATTTAAATTGTTTTTCTAGCATTTGCCATAAGATGAAGTACTCAAGCTCTCTGTCCCAAGCTTGTGTTTACTGACATAAAACTGTCATGTTAAGACACTTAGTTCCTTTTTTCACTCAGTGAACATAAAACTGCAGTGGCAAAGACAGTCTGTGGTGGAGTGCAGTACAGTGCTAACTGCTGATACCGAGCACGTTGCTTTTCTGCGGGCTTTGCTCTCCCTTGAAGCTTGGGGTTGTTTCTGATGGTACAGACCTGTGATTTCATCTGGAGGACTGTGGTCCTCTGCAGCTGAACCTGCTCGCTCTGCTGAACTGTCCTAGAAAAATGTCACAGCTTCCTCTCCTGCTTAGCACAGGCTCATACACCAAGTCAGGGAGAAGTTTCTGAGAGCTACCAGTACATCAGGAACACGATACACGTGAATCACAGCCCCAGCTCTGTTGGTAGAGTTAATGTTTTTGTAAGCAGGTACTTAAAATAACGGTGAAATAACAATCTTTCATTATAAAAGACTTGACTAGCTCCACTGCTGGTGGCTGGCAACACGCATATTCCTTAAGTAAAATTTCACAATTTTATTGGAAATACTTAACGTGGATCATAATTCAATATTAAAGAGTGAGAAATACTTTATTCTACCAAAGCCATAATTCATTTCAGCAGCTGCGCAGCAGCAATAGCTCCATGTCCCACTTCAGGATTGCCCCCAGGTCACCCCATTTCTGGGTGGAGACTGATCATGAAGGGACAGACCACCTTCCATCCATCAGGCTGATGAACATCATCCTCCAGCGGAATCCAGGTTTGAAAATGCTATATCAAATACCTCTTTGTAGTGCTCAACAAAATGCACTTCTAGTCCTTCTGTAATGAATCCAGCAAGGTCATAATAATCCTTTTTATTCTCTGATGGCAGAATGATGCAGGTTACACCTGCCCTCTTCGCCTATGGGGAAAAGAAAGTTATGCAGTCTGTGGAGTCCTAGAAATCCATCAATCCACTAGAAACACACTCCCATTTTAGAAAGCAGGAACAAGAACAGTTATTTAGAACCATGATCTGGCTTTACTCTGTTCTTCAGAGAACAGTGAGGGCATTACTTACAGGAGATGTCACTAAGGAGGGATCATGTTCTAGATCTCCCCAAGCCCCCAAAACACTCTCCAGTCCCACCTTTTCAGCTGCAGGGACAGCTGAAGCAGGAGGTATTTTAGTAGGACTATGTCAACACATCGGGGGATTGGTTTAGACTAATTCATACTATACAGCGCTTTAAAAGTCTGTTCCAACTTGGGTGAGGATAAACCCTATAATCAAAGGAAGAATTAGAAACAGCTTATCAGACCAACCCACCACATCAAGATGCATGACCCATAGCACCGTTCTACAGAACATTTTGGTTGGGACATCTGCATCGGAAGGAGCGGAGAAGGTGGAGCCCACTCCTCAAGTGGCACATTTGTACCCACTTTGTGGGTGACCTGTGGGTCCCTGTGTGGTCACTCACACTCCTGCAAATGCAGCCAGTCATCAGTGCCACAGACATCCCTATCATATGTGAGTCCTGTAATGACTACTACAAAACGAAATGCAAAATTACCCATTTTAAAGCCACATGAGGAAAAGGAATCACACTGCACAAGGCTGTAGCCCAAACAGATTTGGGGACAGAACACTGATGTGAAGCCCCAGCTCAATAGGCTACCAAAATAGCGAATACCGTTCTTGAAGACAGAAAAATGCGTGTGATGCAAGCCTGATGTAGGCAAGAGCTGTACAGATGAAAAGTATGGGGAGAGATTCAATGCTTGGAAAAGAATTCTGAAAATGGCAAAGGGCTGAAACCAAAAAAAGCAAGCACCACTATAAATCCAGTGCCTGCAAGAGTGCTTCAGAGAACTCAGTCTATATAGCTCACAGAAAAAAAAAAGAAAAAAAAAAAAGAAAAAAAAA